TTTATTCTTTTATTTAGAAACTAGAATGTTTTATTGAATGTTACGTTTTCTGTTTGCATGTGAGCAAACAGAAAATGCTGCTACTTTTAATACGTCTGCCCCAGATGACACGTCACCAGTCAGATCTAGGTGCAGCTGTCACAGAACATGCCACAGCCAAGGTGAGTTATTAATATTTAGTGAGAGATGTTGAGGCAGATGCGACACTTAGAGGACATGTGCTTATTTCTGGATTAAAAGGAGGAAAAAATATATAAGGTAAGGTGGCAAATAGGCAGGCTAGTAAGAGTAGAAGGAGGGGCAGATTGTCTGTTTGCTCACATGCATGAATCGGAGTGTAAACAGCGAGAGATCTTGAGGCATGTGAAAATCGTTTGGTTAAGGGTGAATATTGACCTATTGTGCGTATGATTGTATGCTGTTAGCAGGGAATTGTCGCTGCATTTGCTGTAAGAACGACGGAAATTAAGGTGCCAAGAATGTAAGGAGACCCGGGTTGCACAGAACTCAAAAGTGAGAAATCAGTTTGCAGAGGTTAGCCAATCACAGCAGAGGGCAATTTTCATAAAGGCATAGAAGCCTTAAAGGAATAGTTCACCCCCCCAAAAAAGTGAATTTTCTGACATTTTATTTCACCCTCAGGCCATCCAAGATGTAGATGAGTTTGTTTCTTCATCAAATTTGGAGAAATGTAGCTTTACATCACTTGCTCACCAATGGATTGTCTCCAGTGAATGGGTGCCATCAGAATGAGAGTCCAAACAGCTGATAAAAAGCATCACAATAATCCACAAGTAATCCACACCACTCCAATCCATGAATTAACGTCTTGTGAAATGTTTGTAAGAAACAAATCCAACATTAAGACGTTTTGGCCTCAAACTGTTGCTTTTGGCTAAAATATGAGTCTCTATCCATAATATTGCTTTCTCCATTGAAAAGGTCATCTCGTCTCAATCAGAAGAGAAAGCAAGCAAAAACAGTCTAAAACAGTTCTGAACAAATATGTGGGTGGATTTTGATGTGAGAGACAACTGGAGATGGAGTTTTTCACTGGAGGAAGTGTTATTATGGACTCACATTTTGGCCAAAAGTGACGTCATCATGATGGATCTGTTTCTTACAAACACACAGCTTTTCATTTCACAAGACATTAACTGATGGATTGGAGTGGTGTGGATTACTTGTGGATTATTGTAATGTTTTTATCAGCTCTTTGGACTCTCATTCTGACGGCACCCATTCACTGCAGAGGATCTATTATGTAATGATACATTTCTCCAAATCTGTTCAGATGAAGAAACAAACTCATCTAAATATTGGGTGGCCTGAGGAGTAGGCCTACATTTTGACCAAACATTCATTTTTGGGTGAACTATTCCGTTAAAGCTACAATAACAAAAATGCCTGTTTAATTCTGTCATAGAATGGAAAATGATCATGAAATACTAAATTATGATTTTTTTTTGGTGCTGGTTTTATTAATGGAAACAAGATTCGAAAAATAGATGGTAAAATTGTCGGATATGGCCTCTTTAACCTTGCTTCAGGCTCTTTAAACCAGGACATGAAGATTTGATGTGCATCAGAAGCTAAAATGAAGCAGATCTCTCAGATTAAACATTAGCATGCATGTTCGTTCAGTTTTAATCAGTTTAATTAGACAATATGGTTCAACAAGATCTTGTTTTAATACAAGACTGTCATTAAATATTAACTTTCATCATGCAGCAATCTACCAAAATCACAGTGATGGACAGATCAGCCACTGTGAGGAAAATATAAAGAGAGAGACAGAGTAATGAAGATGGCAAATGGTCCCATCTGCTATTCTCATTACGGGTTTCTTAATGCAATCTGATGTCTGGTATGACTGTTCCCGGGTCATCTTGACACCTGTGCCTTTGATTTCATGTAGAAAGGGACACTTGGGAATTGATTGTCCACACTGACCTGTGATTCTTTATGTCTGATTGAAATATCTAGCATGATTAAGACTGCAGTCAAAATCTGAGATTTCAATATGAGCCATCAATGTATTTGTATCCATTTTTTAGTTCTGCTAGGGATATTTTGGAGATAAAAGATGGATATTATTATTGAAACAAAGGTGCTGATGTATCATGAAGCATATGGTGGCTACCATATAAAAAGCATTGCATGTTTTTTGTCTGCCATAAATAACACAAAATGGGAATATAGGACTCAAAATGAGAGACCGCCTGAAATTACGTCATTTTTGACAACTCTTGAGACTGAATCTCTCTCTCTCTCTCTGTCTGTCTGTATATTTCTCTCTCTCTGTCTCTTTCTCTCTCGTTTACGGTAAGTATTGACCGCAATCGCTGTTCCACCTCAAAACTTCACCAAGAAATATCTCAACACAATTTACACAGCATGCAATTGATTTATGGAGCAATAACATGTCTGTGCATCTCTCTTTGTGTGTGGGTCTCTTTAGGTTTTCCTTTGAATTGAGAATGAAAGCATGAAGAGTGTCTTTCCAGTTATGAAAAGCATTTTTCACTAGCTTTGAGAAGTCTGATTCATGTTAGTGAATCAGTTCGTTCAAATGGTTCATTTATTCAAGCTCACTTAAACTGGAAAATGGCAAAGTGTCATAACATTAATCCTGTAAAGCCTGACATATGAAATAATAGTCAGAAATGTATTTATTCTTTTATTTAGAAACTAGAATGTTTTATTGAATGTTACGTTTTCTGTTTGCATGTGAGCAAACAGAAAATGCTGCTACTTTTAATACGTCTGCCCCAGATGACACGTCACCAGTCAGATCTAGGTGCAGCTGTCACAGAACATGCCACAGCCAAGGTGAGTTATTACATTTACTTTATACAAATCAGTAAAAAGACATGTAAAGCTCAAGCTGAAGGTGGATATTTTTACAATTATACAAAGGCCTTTTACTCGCTAAAAAAAGTTTAACCTCTCAATCAGACAGAAGGAATGTAGTAGATTGTCTGCAATAGGTTTTTCACCAAAGTTTTGATCATGTTGATCATTTTGGCACCTTAGAGATTTGCATATCAAACATGATACAGTAGGTTTTATAGGTTTAAACACTTCAGCTGTAGATGACAGTGACATAAACCTCTCAACCCTCCCGTCTCATGACCTTGAGGTAAGCAGCTCTGGTCAGGGACGCCATTACTGTCCAATTAGACGGGAAGCTCAAGCTGAAGGTGGATATTTTTACAATTATACAAAGGCCTTTTACTCGCTAAAAAAAGTTTAACCTCTCAATCAGACAGAAGGAATGTAGTAGATTGTCTGCAATAGGTTTTTCACCAAAGTTTTGATCATTTTGGCACCTTAGAGATTTGCATGTCAAACATGATACAGTAGGTTTTATAGGTTTAAACACTTCAGCTGTAGATGACAGTGACATAAACCTCTCAAACCTCCCGTCTCATGACCTTGAGGTAAGCAGCTCTGGTCAGGGACGCCATTACTGTCCAATTAGATGGCCAAAGATTCACCTTCCAGAGGAACCCGGTGAAGTTTCCCGGTGTCCTCTAACCCAGCAGGGCTCGAATAAGAGATGAGAGTGTGTGTGTGTGTGTGTGTGTGTGTGTGTGTTGAGAGTGTGTTGTAGTGACCTCTAAAGCCTCTCAAGTCCATGAGCAGAACCTCTGCCCCATTAATACTTAATGCAGCACCTTGTCTTGACCTCCGTCTCCGAGTGCCTTTTATCGCTCGCTGGCTGAGATGACTTCTCAATAACCGCATGAAATTAAGGCCGTGATATGATGGATGTGGGGTATAAAGGGTAGTTAAGGCAAGATACTTCAAGCAAAACCATTGGTTTTTCATGCACTGCTCAATTTTGAGATTTTGCTTCTGTAACTTGTCTTGTCCATCCAAAATACATATTTAAGTGTATTGCATACAGTATGTATACTTCAATTCATACGGCCGCTGAAAATTCAACTTTGCGTCATATGAATAAATTACATTTTAAATTATATTAAAATCGAAAACAGGTATTTTAAATTGTAAAGGTGACTTCTCAATAACCGCATGAAATTAAGGCCGTGATATGATGGATGTGGGGTATAAAGGGTAGTTAAGGCAAGATACTTCAGGCAAAACCATTGGTTTTTCATGCACTGCTCAATTTTGAGATTTTGCTTCTGTAACTTGTCTTGTTTTAGGCTAATGGAAAGAAAACATCCAAAATACATATTTAAGTGTATTGCATACAGTATGTATACTTCAATTCATACGGCCGCTGAAAATTCAACTTTGCGTCATATGAATAAATTACATTTTAAATTATATTAAAATCGAAAACAGGTATTTTAAATTGTAATAATATTTCACAATATTGCTGTTTTTACTGTATTTTTTCGATCAGATAAATGCAGCCTTGGTGAGCAAAAGAAATGTATTTTAAGAACATGAAAAATATCTGTATGTCTTTTTAGCTTTAATGTTTAACTTTTCAAGACTAGAGGAAATAAAATGTCCAAAATACACATTTAAGTGCTATTTATAGTGTAATCTATTTGACTTCAGCAGCACTTACATACTCCAAACCTCACAGTTGTATTCCTATCTATATTTTGAAGGCTTTTACAGAGGTGTTTGTTCATATATCATTCGCCTGGTTTATACTTCACATCTTTTTATTGTGTTTTCTGCTGACTTGTAAAATATATTGCAAGTGTTATACAATGAAGCAGGGCGTCTGACAGGAAATGAAATGAAAAAGTAATACACCAAACAGTCCAAGTCCAAAACATTCAAACCTTTCCCCCATCCGCCTGATTTATATTATATTTTATTCCTAAATACATGTTGAAAATTGATTTTTTTTTCCCCACCTGATTTATTGTTAAAAAGTTGATGTTTTCTGATTTCTGGAGTGATAAAAAGAGATCCAAAATCGCCTCTGAACAAAACGTCAACTCTAATATGTCAACAAAATGAAAAAGGAATGTTTTCATTAATAACACTTGCTGTGTCTGTCTTTGTAGGGCATTATGGGAAAGAAAACTTCCGCAGTGGTCAAGATATTCACAACTTTATCTCCTCCGGCTTTGTGACGCTTGGCAGGGGCCATGTGAAAGGTAATCACACAACAGCAAAAACATTGATAATAATCAGAAATGTTTCTTGAGCAACAAATCAGCATATTATAATGATTTCTGAAGGATCATGTGACACTGAAGACTGGAATAATGATGCTAAAAATACAGCTTTGCCTTCGCAGAAATAATATACATGTTAAAATATATTAAAATAGAATAGTTATTCAGTTATTTTAAATTGTAATAATATTTCACAATATTATTGTTTTTTATGTAGCTTTAATTTATTAATTATTTAATTTATTAAAATTATAAAACATTTTTCAACATTTCTTATTTTTATATATTTTTATTTTTTTACAAACAGATATTGTATGTATCGATACCGTATGTGGGACCGTACTCCCAGGGGCACGGAAATAACAATCCCGTATGTGGGACCGTA